CAAAGCCAAAACCACACACGTATCTTGATTACTGCTAACTCATAGCTTTGCCCTTCTGACCTGTGGAGCAGTGACAGTTGGTTCGTCAGGCCCTCTGCTAAGGTCTTTTAAGTCTTACAGTCTTCACAGCAAAATAACAAAAATGTATGTACACTTACTATCCATCACATAATTTATTACAAATTTATAATAAATTGAAACAGAATTAGATAAATGTTTCCAAGATAATACAGGTAGTCAAGTAAGTAAAAGCTGATTTTCCATAAATTAAGATACATGTCCTTGGGGCTGGGAAGATAGCTCAGTTGAACAAGCGCAAGGGCCTGAGTTCAATCTCCTGTTCCGCCAAAAAATTAAAATAAAATAAGGCAGTCTAAGATATATATCCATGACTTTGGGTACTGTTTACACAGTAGAAAAAAAAAAACCTACATGGTAATAAGCCTTATTATTGAAAATCAAATCACACAGTAAAGTCATTACTTTCTAGTTATGTTTAATGAGATGAATACATCACTTTCAGACCTTTTAATACAGGTTTAGTAACCGTAATGTGAAAATGAGAAACCCAAAATCCAAGACTATTTGAGCATCAGTGAAATGCCACAAGAGGAGCATTCAACATCTGACCTCATATGATGATTTGTAATTAAAACTGGAGGGTGAGGCAGGAAGATTCCAGTTCAGTTGTAATTTAACAAGACCTTGTCTCAAAGTAAAATAAAAAGGGCCAGCAATATAGCTCAGTAGTAGAGTGTTTGCCTAGTTGTATGTGAGGCCAGGGATCAGTCCTTAGTACTAAAGAAAAAAAAATATTTAAAGTTCTGTATAAAATTACCTTTAGGCTATAAAATATACACGAAACAGTAAATTCTTTTTTAGACTTGGGTCCTAATCCCAAGATAGTTCATTGTGTATATATCCTAAAATTTGATGCCCAGAACATTTCAGAAAAAGAATTCTGAGTATGTGCAAAGCAGTTAATGAAGGGAAGCATTGGATACAGTTTGGACTGAGAATTGAAAGACCTGTGGGGCTGGTGAGATGGCTCAGTGGTCTAAAGCATCTACTTAGAACAAGCTCAACAAAGCACAGGGACCGCGGTTCAATCCCCCAGCACCACATGCCAGCCAGCCCCGCCCCCTGGTGGGCTGAGCTGGCCACACACACACACACACACACAAATAAAATTAAAAAAAAAAAAAAAGAAAGACCTGTGTTCTAGTCCAGTTTCTTGTTAAATCCACCCAGCTGTTCCTTGAGATTTAAACTTTTGTTACCCAGATTTCTTTCTTTCTTTTTTTTTTTTTTTTCTCGGAACCTGGAATCAAACTCAGGCCCTTGCACTTGCCAGGGAAGCGCTTATTCTCCTGAGCCATCTCCCCGGCCCTTTTTTTTGGTCTTTTTGGGTTTTTTTTGTTGTTGTTGTTGTGTTACCCAGATTTCTATCTGGCCTGCCATCAAGCACATCAACTACCTGCAAATCATTTAGGGTGTCAGCTCATTAAGCTATAATATAATATAATATTCTATAAGTAAAATATCACACAATGGCATCTTTGTTGATTACTAACTGTATACATGAATGTCATAAGTATGGTAATGAAGTAATAAAGTAACAATAAACTAAAATAGTTTTTAGACATGATAGGGTTCCTTTAAATACTATTCTTGTTAAGCTCAAAAGTGAGGCCTTTTAAGGTGTTTTTGATATGTTGAAATAAAGTTATCATTCTCATTTACATTCTTACCCGAAGTTTTAAACTATGTTTCTTTTATTGACACCACCCAAATTCCTGCAACAAAACAGCACTGTGTAGTAATGCCTGGTAATTTTACAAATGACCTTTTTCTTCTCTGTGCCATTTTATATCTTCTCCCACACATAAAGAAGAAAGTTTATCTTAACCCAAGGTCCAGGAAGAAACTCCTGTTTTTTAGAACTGCACTGCCTAGCACAGTAGTCATTAGATTCACGTGACTATTTACATTTAAATTTATTAAAAATAAAACTACAGGGGCTGGTGAGATGGCTCAGTGGTCTAAAGCACCTACTTAGAACAAGCTTAGCAAAGCACATGGACTGAGGTTCAATCCCCCAGCACCACATGCCAGCCAGCGCCGCCCCCTGGTGGGCTGAGCTGGCCACACACACACACACACACACACAAACAAATAAATAAATTAAATAAATAATTTTTTTAAAAAATATAAATAAAAATAAAACTACAGAATTATTAAGTCCTTTCATCACAGCAGCCATAATTTAATGTTATTTTATAATTCAGTATGTTCATGGTATGTTGCAGCAGATATAACTAAATATGTTTGTCTGGCTGAGGATCTTTAACTGGGGCTTATTTTGTGGGTTTACATTATGAGCATCCTGAAAAATCATGCCAGGCCTTGCTTTCAGGGAAACACAGCACTCATTCCTTCCAATTACTGCATCATATTGAGCTTACCAAATGAACTCCCATTGCCCTGAGCATGCCATCTTTTGGCTGTTACAACTTACTAAGAAATCTATTGAATGTCTGTTACATGGGAGATGCTATTATAGGTGTTGAGAATAAATCCTATCTGAATTTGCTATAGAAAATGTTAGGTACACATAGCATGTTGGTGAAGGAAAAAAAGTTTCCATAGTGACCCTGCAGGCAGTGATTCCAAGATGGAGGGAGCTAAAGGCTCCTCAGAGAAAACTTGGTGTGAAACATTCAAGAATGCACCTTAATTCTCGGTACCATAGTTTTTAAAACAAAGCCATAAAGACTTGCTTGGTTCATTCTCATTTGAGTGGCGCAGTGTTAACGTGAGAGGCTGTTTCTTTTCTTGCCAACTTGTTCACTCCAGTTGGTCCATGCAGAGAACCATGCCAGGATTGCCCTTATAGTCAGTACCCTCTGGCCAAGTAGAAGGCCTGCCACTGGTGTGGGTACAGCTGACTTACTGTTGGTTACAGCTGCTGTGTGTCTGTTTTACAATGCTCCTGCTGTCCTCATCCTACAGGTGTCTTAAAGTCTGGTTCAGGAGAAGAGAGGCTAATACCTGTGGCATTTTAAAAAGTCATTTTCTCCTTGTATGAGGTGTTTTTTCCCATTACAAGGGGGATGGTGCTTCTTATATAGTTCACTGCAGGTGATAGAATCACATAATAGAGCATGTGTGGATCCATATTATTGAGTCTTTTTTTTTTTCAGGGGCAACAAAACAGAAAGTTTACTTGAATTTTTCATTTTCTGTTTATTTCCTAATTCATATAGTGAAAAATATTGTTTTTCAATGAAAATATTTTTCAGGTTATGTTATTGAGTCTTGAGTATGAGAGTATTAAAACTCAGTGTTTAAAACAGCAGTCATGTTAAAAGTTTAATGCTGTTTAGTGTATTTTCTTGATACAATACTGAACCTTGTGAAACTGGATGAATGATTTTAGGTGGAAGATGTTCTCTGAAGTAATGTGAATGAATATACATATTTAACAGATTGGGTCGTTTAATTTGGTGGGAATATGGTGATAAGGTCAAGGCTGTGAATTTACCTCCTGTCATAGCACCAACGTGGATTATGTTCTGCAGTCCGCTTGGCTCTCTTAGTATCAGCAAAATCACTCTTCACTCTTACTGAAACTTTTACCAGAGGTTCAGATATAACTTTTATCTGTGGATGTATAATTCACATTATCAAGCTACTGAGAAAAAAAAAACAGCCTAAAAAATGTACCTCCGATATAGTTTAATGAGGCTTTCTTTCAATATGAAGAATGATAATAGGCTATTGCTATCAAATAATCCTAAATATTTTTTACTTGGTGACTTATTTTTACTTAAAATTGTTGTCTGTCAGGCTGGCCATGGTGGCACATGCCTGTAATCCCTTCATTTGCGAGGCTGAGCAAAAGGATCGTTGTGAGATTGAGACCCACCTAGGCTCCAGAAAGAGCTCAAAGCCAGCCTAAACTGCATTGCAAGACCCCGTCTCAAAAAAAGACCAAAAATAGAAGTTTCTATGAGTAATATCATTGTTTTTAACTATTTTCCCATAGATGATACTTGAATAAGGCTTAATATTTGATGAAAAAATTGTTTTAATCATGTGACAGGTTAAAAGAAGAAATTATAAACCTGATTGTAATTTTCAGTCTTGCTGAGGTATTGGTGTTAACAGAGATTATATTGTCTTTATCTAACGGTTTAAATTATATTCTTTCAAACTGATAATGAAATAAATGATCAGGGGCCAGGGAGATAGCTTAGGGCCTGAGTTCAATCCCCAGTTCCGCCAAAAAAAGAAATAAATGATCAGTGAGTGTGTATAAGGCTCATAAGATAAAGAGGCTGATTTCAGAAGGGTAAGCAGTTGGTAGGGGTGCTAACGTACATTACAGAGTAACACTGAGTATGTACTTAACCTGTAGTAAAGTTGAATAGTGGTTTTGGGCTGGGTGGTAGGGGTCACGTGGGATCATTGCATTTAGAGAGCTAGTCTCTTACGAGTTTCAGAGGGGCCAGGGAGATGGCTCAGTGGAATAAGCGCTGCCCTGGCAAGTGCAAGGGCCTGAGTTCAATCCCTGGTTGGGGGGGGGGGGAGTTTCAGTAGTGAAATATTCAGAAGACAGGCGTCAGAAAGGAAAAGGACAGAATGTCGTATTAAATAGCAGATCAGGAATTGACTTCTTAAAGTGTATGAAATTTTTCTTTAGCCCAAACTTTCTGGGCAAGCTCTTTTCCAGATGAACTCCTCTATTACGGATGTTTAGACTTTTGGAATCAGTATGACTTTATACTAATTAATTTGTAGTAGTAATTAGTAATCAAATTGATCCTTAGGGAATCTACTGTTGTACTATCAAATGAAGCCAGACTTTTCCCTAAACTTTCTTATTCCCTGAAAGCTATCTACAGGGCACTTCAGAATTTGCAGGGTTTATTAGAATTACCTGTGTGATTATTTTGAAATATTTCTCAATGGTCTATGTATTTTTGTTTCCATTTTAGAACAAAATCCAGTCTCATAGCAGAGGAGAATATAATGTTTACAGCACCTTCCAGAGCCATGAACCAGAATTTGACTACTTGAAAAGTTTAGAAATAGAAGAAAAAATCAACAAAATTAGGTGGTTACCCCAGAAAAATGCTGCTCAGTTTTTATTATCTACCAATGGTAAGTGTACGTCTTTGCTTTTCATGTGCCCCCATTTGCACATACTGCGTAGATGATACTTCATCTCCAAGAGGAATATCACAGAGGTTTTTGTGAAGAAAGATGCTTATAAATTTTTCTGCTTTATATGAAATCTAAACTGCTTCTTTTCCTTTCTAAACTGTTTACTTGTACTTTTTAGATTCTTTGAAAGATTATATGACACAAATTTTGTTTATTCCATGTCCAGTGAGTACTGAAAAGAACACCATTGAGCTTAATGTCAGTTATATTTTCGCTGTGTCTCACCTTAGAGGCCTGGGGCAGGTTCCTAGAATTTTCCTTACCAGTGAGCTGGAGTTAATGTTTATATTATGGTATGAGTTCTAAAATGTTAATTCTACTATATGAGTGTGAATGCTTGATAAATGTTAATTTCCTTTCCTCTTCCTTTCCTAGCATTCCAGTTGTAAATGTAGAGTGCTTTTTCAAAGAATGGTACAGCCAGGTGTTCCCTGTCGAGCGCTGCTCTTGCTTGACTTCATGGCCTGTTGCTCTCTTCCCACAGTTACATGACAGAGATGACGCTTCCATGGTGCTGTGCTTGTCCAGGGAAAGTTACTAAGTGAAGATTAATGAGTTTGTTGCAGCTTGAAGCTCTACAAGTTGAGGGATTTCTTTGTATTCTAATTTTTTTCTCTCTGAGTCTCTAGAGACTCTTTAGCATGACTGCAGTGGCAGAAGGTGCCTAAGGATCTGGGTAGCGTAGTCTATAAAATTCAGATTAAAACTTTTGAGGCTGGCATGTGTTTAGCATCCTTGTCATTTAGTAAGAAAAGCAAATTCTAACACTTAGACCTTACCATTTTTAGAAGTAAGCTGGTATGCCTCTTGGCCCCTACTTTGAATTGTTGGTAACACAGTCCTCAAAATATTGCCAAATCTGTAACTTGCAGCAGCATGATGGGTGGAGGAAGTGTGTTTAGTCTCGCCATATGTTGGTTCACCATCTTAGTACAGCTTTAATTTGTATGATTGTTATTTAAAATAGCATTCATGCCAGGTGTAATAGCGCACACCTGAAGCCCCAGGAGGCAGAGGCAGGAGGTTCTTTGTGTTTTGGAGCTAGCCTGGGGTGCATAAGAGTTCAAGGCCACTCTGGACACAACTGTATACAGTGACACCCTGTCAAAACAAATAAACAAGAAAAAATGGACTTAGATGCTTTCTTGGGATGTAAAATAATATGAAATAATAATACTTTCTATGTAACTCTACTATTAGAGAGTATTCCCGAGGAAAATTTGTTACAGATTTGCTGTATGAGACTTTCTTATAATTATGATGGTTTACTTTTTATAGGCTAGATCATTTTTTTATTAAAAGAAAGTTTTAGACATGAGCCAAGGGGGAAAGAACAGTGTAATGAAGCCCCAGTGACTCAACAGTTGTGGCTGTGGCCATTTCATTTCTCAGTTTCTCCTTTACCTTCCTCTGCAGTGTTCTTGGGAAGCAAATTCCATTTCAACTCGTGTATGGATTAAATCTTAGCTGTCTTTCACTTCTTTTTATGTCCACATGTATCTTCCACAGAGGACTCACCGTGCTGCCTTAGCAATGCATAGCCAGCAGATGAGCGTTTCTCACACTGCAAGGGTGCGATGGAGATGGGGCACCGGGCAGCTAGTGGCTGGGGCACAATGTGAACCTCTGTAGTCACCAACAGGGTCTCCTACATATGTATAGGAAGTACATGTATTTGAAATGTTTCTGGGGGCCTGGCCCTAGCTCAGTTCTTTAAGTGGCTGCTTCCACCAAGCTGTCAGCCTCAGGTGGCTCTAGTTCGATCCCCACAACTCTCCAGCCAGCCACACAAGCCCTGAGGGCATTCGGAGCACAACAAACAAACAAACAAAACAAAACAAAACAAAACAAAACAAAACAAAAAAATCCTGAAATGTTTCTGACTCACATTACAAATTACTTTAAAGTGCTGTAGAATAAATCCATTTTTGTTATTTTTTGTTAATGAATTCTAAGTCAAACACAAGTAACAGAAGATTACGCTGTTTTTTATAAGCTGAAAATAGTTTTAGCAGGTAGTGTTGAGTGTGTACGTTTAAGACAGATCTGGGCATTTTATCATCTTATTTGTTGGTGCAGGATGAAATGAGGAAGGATGGGAGAGGTAGGACTCTAGTGGCATCAGAAAGTGTTTGTTAAAAGGACAGAAAGGAGCCAGGCAGGGCAGAAGAATCCTGAGTTCAAGCTCAGTCTGAATGATGTTTTGAGACCCTGCACTACTCCCCACCCCCCAAAGGGCTTAAACCCTAAATCTCCAGTACTACCAAAAACAAAAAGTAAAACAGTGACTTGGGGAAAGTGTTAGTGTCTGTTAGATATAGATAATTTCCTTATTTTGTATAGGGTTGTTTTTTTTTTTTCTTCTGTGAAATATAACACTTCTGCAGTGGGTCTTTATATTAAAATCAGAAACTCCTACATTGGAAAATATCATTTCATCTAATATTTCTTTAGGCATTTTTACTCTTTTTAAAAAATTTTGTTTTTCCTTTATCTGAATTTTCATTAATTCTTTGATATTGCAAAATGTTGGCCATCAGCCTTAAATATGTGAAAAATACAGAGTTTCCTTCTAAATAACTTTTTAATGGGTGAGTTTTGAATCTCCTTAATAGCTGCATTTCCTCAAAGGAAATTTGTCAGCATGGTTTTCCCAGCGCCAACACTGCCATGGCAGCAGGAGTACAGACTCAGTTATTAAGGAATATCTCTTAATATTCTAGAATCTAACAGTCTTCGCCAGAAAAGCATCTGTGTATACATAGTCCTGAGTGGTTTTTTATGGTATTTGATCATTCATAACATCTCCTATGCTCAGAAGCTCTAATTTAAAAATACTTTTTGTGTCGTATCAACCTGCCTTGTCCCTAAAGTCCTACAGTGAAATCATGTATTTAACCTAAACTGCTATATATCCTGTGTTGGTTATCGTAAACAAAGTTCTAAACATTTTAAATTTTCTACTTTGTTACATTGTTTTAAAATGTTGTTTAAAATTTTTTCTTCAGGGTAGTTGGTTTATTTTAAAACGTTTTGTAATTAGGACCCGTAATATAATAAGGGCCATAAACTAATTTCATCCCATCTGAAAATTTGATAAGTATTTTGTGATAATTCTCTATATGGATATTTAATAAGGATTATGATTTTAAATAGACCACTAGACAACTTTAATGAGAGGGGTAAGGTTGTCATTCTCATTGTCTTTAGATGATTCCAGGTACTACACTTGAACTTAGCCAAAAGGCCAAGAAACAGTGATTTCAAAACACTTCCAGAATTCAGACAAGGCTGATATATCTGTCTAGGGTTTGTTGTTGTTGTTTGTTTGTTTGTTTGTTTGTTTGTTTTTAATGTATTTGGTACAGGGTCTCACTATGCACCTTAGACTTGCAGTGATCCTCCTGTTTTCAGCCTCCCCAGCACTGGCATTACAGACATGCACCACCACACCCGGACTTGGTGGCCAGCTCAGCACACATGGGGATGGGGCTAGCTCAGCCTGTGGTGCCAGGGATCAAACTCCAGTCCTTGTGCTTGCCTAGGCAGGCACCTAGACTGCTGAGCTATCTCACTAACCCTTACATAAGTATATACAAAAGTAGTACACAGGGACTTATAATTTAGCTGCAAGAGAATTATAAACAAGATTGCATAGACTTTAGAAACAGTATTTGAGTTGCTATAGTAGTTTTTATATTTACATTTTATCTTTAAGAAGAGCATGAAGTGTTCTAAACAAGGTAGATAGAAATTATGAAGCTAGAGAATCATTGAAATCTCTAGGAGTTGTTTTACAGTGCTTTTATAAAATTAGCTTTTTTTAATTTTAGGGAAGGGTCTACAGGGTGTTCAGGGTCTCACTACTAGATCGGACTCATAGTGATCCACTTGTTTACAGCCTCCCAAGAGCTGGGATTACAGGATCGAGCCCTTGGCCCCTGTTATAAAATGGCTTTTTCAGGGACAGGGAGATAGCTCACTGGCATGAGCGCCTGCCTGACAAGTCCTGAATTTAATTCCCTAGTACCAAAAAAATTAAATGAAATGGCTTTATGCGTTTTTCAATTTTTGCTGTACCCATTTTGTTGTGAAAGATGATTAGGGATGTAGTAATCATATAAAATTGCCATTTTTAGGATTACAACAAAGTAAATGAATATTCATGAGCCCAAAGCAATAATTCTAAATAATAAATAATAAATACTCTTTTTCCCACAGAGTGTAACTTTCAAGTGTGACCTGGATGTGATGATTCAATTCCAAATAGTAGAATATGGCAAGGGGGACATACGTTTAATTATATAGTAGATAAGATGTTTATATAGTGGATAAGACTGGCCGGCCTCAACCTGGCCAGATTACTAACATCAGCGCCCCCAGCCATAACATGCTGGTGCTATATATTCCCTTAAATGATTCAGTGAGAAATCACTTCATCTTTGTGCTCTTCTAGAGCCCCAGTTTGAGCATGAGAAATAGCAGGCAAACCCAGCTGAGGGGCATTCTACAGAGGGCACACTACTCACAGCTGTCCACATTAAACTGCTCAAGTGGAAGAGGCTAGTGAAGCGTGATGACTTAAGTACTGTGGTGTTTGGATCCTGAAGAAAAAAAAAGTTGTTAAAAAACCTGAAGCTCCCTCTCCCCCACAAGAAAAAAGAGTGTTTAAAAACCTGGAGTAGCATCTGTAGTAAAGTCTACAGCTTCATTAATTTTAGCATACATTGATTTCTTAATTTTGATAAATTTACCATGGCTGCCTATGATATTGATATTGGAGGAAACCAGGTAACTGGGCATAGGAGAACACTGCTGCATTTGCAGATTTTCTACATATCTAAGTTAAATTCTAAAATAAAAGTTTATTCACCTTTTTATTTTTAATTTATAAATTTAGGACAGGGTCCACAGGATGTACCGGGTCTCACTATGTAGATCGGACTTACAGTGATCCTCCTGTTTTCAGCCTCCCAAGTGCTGGGATTACAGGCACGCTCCACCACGCCCAGTCTCAGTCACCAGCTCAGCCTGCCCTGGGGGGCAGGGCCCACAAAGGAATTGAACCCAAGCTGCTGCGTTCTGCCTAAGCAGGCGCTTTAGTCCACTGAGCTATCTGGCCAGCCCTATTCACTTTCTTAAAAGATACTACTTCATTCATACGTTCTTGTTATGTACGAATTTTGAGTTCGGCACATATTTCAGCATTCAAATTTCTTCAGGCCTAGTTTTCTACTCTTTAGGAACTGACACCCAAATTTAAATGGAGGCATCCAGTGGGAAGGAATCTGTGGATTTGTTGGTAGAAACTGCTAAGAAGTGAACAGAGGGAGCTGCACTTCACCATTTTGATTGTAAATATTGGGCAGCATTAACCAAGTTCATTGCTATTCTCTTTAA